TTTGTAGGCTAAATGGGCAGGACATAATTTGTTAGCGAGTGGCTGTCTGAACAGTACAGTGTTAACGCGCTGGACTCCCGATCGAGATGCACACACATGTTAAATAGGCTATATTAAAAATCGCAATTTTGATTTTATAATATTAAGTTATCTGTACAGAAATATTTATAAATTACATTTTTTTACAGATCAATTGCAATTATGGTTCGCACGTATATTAGAAAGACTGATAGAGGAACTGTGTCAACAAAGGTGTTTGAGCAGGCGGCTGATAGAGTTATTACTCATAATGAGTCATTAAGAAAAACTGCTTCTGATTTTAATGTAAGTATAATTAATTACAGATTAATAATTTAATTTAAAGATATTGTTCGTGCTCAGGTTTATTATTATTTTACAATAAGCAGTAAACAAAACTATCATGATATATAGGCCTATTATAATTCATTAATATTTCATGTGCATTACACCTTTTTGATGAACTTTGGGGCATGTTGTTACAATCTTGAGGCATGTTGTTACATGTTGTAACAACATGCCCCATATCGACATGGGGTATAACAATGTCTTCATACTAATTCATCGTCAAACAACATAATTCAGTGTTATCGTATATTAAGAGGTATTAACTATCGAAGTCTACAACTAATAAGAACAGTATCAAAACACAGTATATAAAGAGTAAATAGATATTTCCTAGACATTTTTTTAAATTTAGGTATGCAAAAACAGAAAATGTACATACCTTTTTTATTTCGTGACTGATCTTATTCATGCCGTCATTAAAACAAAGCTTGCGCAACACGTGTTCGATGGTCCGTGAACAATCGTCGTCTATTAATCTCAACAAGAGCTAGAGGCACTGTATCAACTTGCCCCTGTAACAACTAGCCCCGGTCTCCCCTACTTCTAAAACATATCGATGTAATATATAAATTACTTTGGGCTTCTAAGTTACAGTATTATTCATTTTATAAGCACAGTTTTATAGCAACTGGTGCCCAAAAAATGTGTGTGATTCAAATTACATTGAAATACATTGAAGAACACTCATATAAAGGCTGCCAATTTACCAAAGCTATATTTAGTTATAATACTGACATTATCGTAAACATTTAACGATTTAAATTCAACAATCAACTTCAGTGATCTATTTATTCCCTCTACCTACCCATTAGAAACGTATTTAATGAATTTAAAGAAATCGAATAAATATTGAAGCTTTCTTCTAATAAGGAAAAACTATTCATTGTAATACTCCTCATACTCATCACATGAATTATCATAGTTACTTACTTGATGAATTATTACAAGCTGTCTACTTTTCCTTTTTGAATATTGAATTTGGCTACAAATGATTTCCAGTAAAAGCAAACAATATTAATATGGAGAGGGGAAACATTAGTTACAGACAAAGACACATTACCAACACATAGATATGAGCATTGTTATCGAAACATATTATTGGACATTTTAGTAAGTAAGAATGTTTTAAATTTTGAAGTCGCAAATTTTTTTTTCCAAATAATATATATATTTTTGAAATTAATAAAATTATTAACTATAGTTATATATGTTAGGTGTATTTGTTTGTTATGGATTTCGCGCAAAGCTACACAAGGGCTATCTGCG